GAGAGAGAGAGAGAGAGAGAGAGAGAGAGAGAGAGAGTTTAGACTTAAAATTCAAGTAATGTCAAGCAAGTGTCGGTGACTGGGGTGTGTCCTTGAGCAAGACACGACAACCCAAGCTCAAAATACAACAGGGCGCTGCACAGTGGCGACCGACAATGGCATGGTTGTAAACTGTTCTGTATTTGTGTAATATTGTGTTTTTATGTATGTATTTGCGCAGGTATTTATAATATATGTTCGTATTTATAATCATGTATGTATGTGTGTACGTATGTGTATGTATGTTTGCAATTGTAAACCAAATTGCCTTTTTTCTATTTTAAAAAAAGTGCAATTTATTTATTTATACACACATGTACTCACTGTATCCTCAGTTAATCCCACGCGTAGTCAAGTCTCCTAAATCAGACGCTCAAAATCTATATTTCCACGGAGCGGTGCCTAGCCTACTGAACACAGATATCTAGTATATGCAGCCTGCAAACAGTGTTTGTTCTAAAATAGTTCTGTCGATAAATGGAGAGGATATTGGAATGCATGCATGCGCATGAAACAGTGCACAGTGTAGCCAGCAGGTCGACAGAGGAAAATGATACACCCCGTCCTCTCTTTCGCCCTTTGTCTTCCAATCCGATTGTCCCAGTCTATCGGTGTGACTGATGTACGCTCGACAGCCTGTCTGTCTGTCTGTCTGTTTGTTTGTCTGCCTGTTTGTCTGTCTGTCTGTCTGTCTATCTGTCTGCTCGTCATAATAACAAATTGAGAAACCGTACATCCACCAGGTCCTTCATAGGTAAAAAGTGGCAGGACGTTGTGGAATCAGACGCTCGTCAATTTTTGGGCATATGAGTTTATTGGTGGCATCTTAAAGCCAGTTCATTTGCCTTCCTTTTGGTAAAAAATATCTATCTATGTTGAAGAGAAGTCGAGACATTTGCGACAGAAGGAGGGGAGGGTTGCCCGGTTCCAGAGGTAAAATTAATGAGGAAATTGCCGCCAAAGTTACGTAAATTCCTTAGTTTGAGAATCCTTGGAAACAGAACATTTTTATTTTTTTGAGGCTTTAATCAACGTTTTTCCATGAAATCCACACAGAAATGTGTTTTTAAATAGACAAAAAAGTGTTGAGCCAAAATTAAAAAAAAATTTTTTTTAATTGCCCAAAGGCCAGAAAAATGCCAGTTTCTTCGATTTCATTATTTTGACGAGCGCCTGATTTCACCACGGTGTCTCACGTTATATCTTTGTCTTTGGACCGACCACGAACCCACTCACGAGTGTAATCTTCGTTCAGTGAGTAATGTATCGCCAACTTGCCAGTCATACATTCTGAATCCGCGTCTGAGTTGTTGCAGTTAGGCCTAGACACTTTGTTGTTGCATACAGGAGACTCATTTTCCATTTCCGAGTAGGGGAACATTTTTATTTATTATTTATTACAAATAAATAATCAATAAATAAATGACACTTTTATTGATCCCAGAAGGCGGGCAATTTGGTTTACAATGGCAAACATTCATAATACTTACATAATTTACATACATAAATACATAATTATAAATACATACATGAGACACAAACTTACATACATAAATACGTGCACAAATACATACACAGATACACAATATTACATCAATACAGAACAGTTTACAGCCATGTCATTGCCGGTCGCCACTACTACGTTATTCTGCCGGGATGTTGTATCCCTCTCATCTCGTGTTGGCCCTGAACTGACAGGCAGGGTCGGAAAGGCACTTGACACGAATTTTTCTCACTTTACCCAGGTGGGAATGGGTACCCGGCCATAGACAGCGAAAGATCTTGTCAGTATGTTAGTGTTTTAGCGCCTATAAATGGCTGCTTGCACTGTATGCTTCCCAGGAAGTTGAGGTTGTTTCAGAATGCTCTCAGGTCTGCTGGGGTATAGTGAGCGGGGATTTACGCTATACAAATATATTATTAAGCCCGCCTGCAAAATTACCTAAATTGTGGCCATGGGGTTGGGGATGGGACGTAAAACCCCCCAGCAGACCCAAGAACATTCTCGGCTTTCCGGGAAACATACAGTGCAAGCTGCTGATTGCACGCACGTAAACACTAAACGAACTGACACGATCTTTCTCTGCCTATAGCCGGATACCGTACCCATAATTTCCACCTGGGTGAAGTGAGGAACATTCGTCTAAAGTGCCTTTCTCGAGGACACTGTACTTTTTGGACCGACTTGTTGTTGACTC